ATTGTGGACACACAGTACATGACCTTATAATTAAACTTTTGATGCTTATAGTTAACTATTTGAATAAGATAACAATACATAAATTAAACAGGATACGAGGATCACTAGCTTGAAGCGCTATTATGTCATCGGTATCTAGAAAATCGACATGACAACTTTTGTTAGAGATTCTAAGGGTGTGTTTGGTATCCATATATGATAGAATAGGACAGGACAGTACAACTGTTCAACATTTGGTAAGATAGAACTTGACATGACAGAACAAATAAAATGGTCAATTTACCCCTAATGAGTTGTTTATATATTTTATATATTATGATTAATTATGTAAATTATTAAGTTATAATAAAATAAATATTTTTTATAACAAAATATATCATTAGAAAATTTTCGTCAAGACAATTAAAATGATACAAAATAAAAAGTTTATATAGCTTTCAATTTTTATTTTATACATTTTCTATATTATTATTTTTCTTACAAATATTTATTAAATTATATAAGTTAATCAATTATAGAAACCATATAAAAATAATATTTTGAGAACAACAAAGTGAATGTTTGAAGAACATAAAATACAATAAGTAAAATTTAAAAGTGAATATAATGTAAAAAGAATGTTTATTTGGTATTTTAGAAGAGAATTAAGTTTTATTTTGAGGTTATATTGGTGAAACACATGTTTGTTTCACTTCGTTTCATGGGGTGAGGATTATACACATCTGATCCACTTTGTTTATGTCTGTTCCAAATAAAAGTCATGTCAAATATAGAACAGTGATCCTTATTATATTTTGTTTTGTTCTATTCAATGTATCAAACACAATCTAAACGAACCCATTTCATTGGTATTAAGAAAGGATTATAAATGATTGGTTTAATGAACAAAATTATGAAAAAGTAAAACAAATTTGTCTAACACTATTAAATAACTATATCAGGTTTTTTTAAATTGTTTTATGTTTTCTAACATGTGAGAATTACTCTTTATTTTATTTGAATACAACATTCTTCTCGTTAACAATTGTTTAGAGAATAATTTATCTTTAGCATACTAATTCACGATAAGTGGATGTTTTCAGGCTCGGCCTTGGCTATAGGCCATGAGGCTGATGACCATGGGCATCAAAAGCCCAAAAGCGCATCACCGGCTCAGTGCCCTTATGGCTTTGGTTGGGTGAGTCCGTGAACAACATTTTTTGTGTGGTTTTACCTCTCTCGATTCCCTCTCTAAGTGATCGAACGAACAATGAGGAATGACTGACTTGAACGAATTTGAACTAACCCTCCACTCCCTCTTCTCGAATCTCACTTGGTTAGGGTTTCAAAATCCCCAATCACACATTGTTGAAGTGTTAATTTCACCTTCTTCATTTGCACAACTTTTTTTTTGTTCATGGGCTTCAATTGAATTTTTGATTTGTTTATGTTATTTCTCTAGATGTTTGTTTTGTTCAGTGTTTAAAAAGGCGCGTGATGGCAGGATATGGCACAAGATGCATCTCCGCCATTACGAAATGTCCCATTGCGTTTCTGTAAGGCGTAACTCACGCCACGACGCGCGTTTTTTTTATTTAAGAAATGACTTTTTCATAAAAATCTTTATTATTTTTGTGTATTTACATCTTTAACTTTAAATTTACATTTTTATTGATTTATCTAATCATACCACTCACAGTTTAACAAATTCATAAACGTAATGGACTCACGATTAAACAAAGTTATAAAATTACTTTTATAAGTTCTATTTTTAAATATCTAATCAAAAACTATTTTCATAATAATAACCTATATGATTTTTCTTCTTTTAATATGAATGTGTATTTTTTTTTTAATATAATTATGTGATTAGATAATATATAGAAAACATATATATAAATATATAATTCTAAATATGACATACATATTTGTTGTTTATGTCACGCCTTGAAAAACGCCGCGTCCTCGTCGTGGCCTATAAGACTTGAGGCTTGACCTCGTCGACACGTCATACCTCACGCTATTTTGAACCTTGATTTTGTTATGTCTTGTTTTGGAAAATGGAAGATGGTAATTGATAAAAAAAAATTAAGAAAGTAGTACCGTTTGAGTGCAGCATAAGGCGAAGGTTATCGTTTAGTTGGTTTAGATTTCCTTATATTTATTCATCTCTGCACTTCTCGATTGTCTGATTCTGCCTCCAATGCTCGAGGATGGCTTCTGCTTCCGCCTTCCGATGGCCGGCTTCGGCTCTACAAGAACCTCCAAAGTCCATCCCCACATACATGATAAATGATGGATGATACGAGTTCTATGTGTATTATGATTTCATTTCTTAATCGTCATGCTAAAAAAATTAGTTCGGTGGTTTCTAGTATTTTTTTCTCAGTTTGGTAATGTTGTTTTTAGTGATTTAGTTTGGTGTTTTTAAGGACTTCGAAAATCAGGAACTTTTGGAGTTGTTATTTGAATTGTGTTCGTATTCTTAAATTGGTAATGACAAAGAAGATAGGTTTTGCACATTAAAGAAACCACATCAATCGATAGACGCTTAGACGGGCAGAACGTAAACATTTTCAAGTTCACACATTAGATTGCAAATCTTTAGTTTAGAAAATCTCGCTTGCCCCACTTATAAGCAGTTCTCAAGATATGATCTATAAAAATGATCTAGCTCGTTTGGATGCAATTAAAAAACAGATTACGTTTTCAATAAACCTTTAAGCATTGTATAAGTAGATACAATATTGACGGTTCTGTTGAAATTATTTCTAAAAGTTCAATCGTGATAGTGGGTATCGAGATAACCTTTCTTCTATAAGTTGATCTTGAATTTGATTTATAACACCCCACATCCATATTTGCATAAAACCACATATTCCATTTAATATGAAATTCAAATATAGTCATTAGTCCGAAATGTACAACTTGCTACATTACAAAAGTAGCTACAAATTTTTTCATGTACGTCAAGTACATGACGTGCAGATAAAACAAGTTCTCAAGCACATGTAATATTACAACTTCCACATATGTATTATTGAAACAAACCTCTTTGTAGCATTATATAGATGAGACAACCTCATTTTTATCGCATCAATTCACGAAGTACTAAAGTCATCGCCTTAAACATAAATGATACCAACTTGTCGCATCTCATTGATGCGATCACATTTTCATCGCGTCATATACATCAACTTGTCGCATCATATAGATGCGATAATACACTTCCTAGCATCACATTGATGCGATAAATATCCTTGTCGCATCATAAAGATGCGATAATCCAATCTTTTCGCACCTCAAGGATGCAATAACCCAATCTTGGCGCATATCAAAGATGCGATAACACTACTCTTCGCATCACAAGGATGGGATAACATCATCTCATCACATCATATAGATGCGATAAATCAAACTCATTGCATCATGCAGATGCGATAACAATTCCACACGATCGAAATCCCATTTTTATATACAAAAGATTTTGCCACCCTTATCTTAGTATACGTCTCTCTTGATTATGTCACATTTATCCCAAAATTCGTCTCTCCTGATTATGCCACCCTTATCCTAGTATACGTCTCACCTGATTATGTCATCCTTATCCCAAAATACATCTCTCCTGATTATGCACCCTTATTCCAACCAATTGATAATCACATATCAAAACACAAAATTATGCTAAAATAGCATATAACATATTCAAAACCTATGTATGAAACCATACGGTTTCTTCACCAAAAGCATATCAATGATGTTTATGAAAGTAAAACTCACCTTATAATCACAAAGAGATGAAAATAATAATCAGCAACAAATTTCAGCTATAAATCACAAAAACTAGTTTCTTCTTCATTACCTTCGGTTCACTTCAAACTAGAGAACACACACACAAAAGATTTTATCTTCTGAAAACTCCAAAACAATATACCTTTTAAAAGAAAACATACACACACATATATATATATATATATATATATATATATATATATATATTAAAAAGAAAGGCAGTTGGAAGGAGATATTTTAACCAAATTTTAAAAACAACCCCTTAACTATCACCATTTTTCCAAATCAATCCCGAAACTTTATAATCGATAAAACCTAGTTATCACATGATCTCCAAACTTCAATGATTTACTCAGATGATCTCCAAACAAACCACTTGGATGGAAGGCAAATGAAGCATTCCGTTAAAATTCTATAGTAGAATGGTATAAATTAGGAAGAAAAGAAGTAAGAAAGAAACCTGACATGAATTTTATAGTGCTCCATATGGTACTTAATAGATATTAGGGGCATTTTTTTGACTTAACATTCTTACTATTAAGAACCTTAAAACCAACTCTAGACGTTTCAAATATAACTAAGGGGTGTTTGATAATATATATTAAGCAATAATTAATGCAAATGAAAATAAAAAAATCTGTTTAGTTTTTATAATATAATAAGTCAATTCCTTCATAAGCCCAACTTTTGATTTCCAAGTTAAACCGAAGAGAATGAAAATTCATTCTCATTTTCATACCCATTTTTATTTTTCTGTCTGAACTCTGAACCAAACGCTTCTTTAGTATTTTTTTTTAAAATGATTAAGTGCATTAATTTTTTTTATTTTAACTTAATAATAAAGTTTTACATCCCTTAAAAGAAAGGTTTTACATTTTGTTACATTGTATGGACTCTAAAAAAATTACATGCGAAAACAAAATTGATTCCATACTTAAATAGGGGAGTAAAAAATAAAAATAAAAATAAAAATAAAAATAAAAATAAAAATACAATTACCGGATGCCAATTTGAAATGGAGTTTACCTCAAATTTCAAAATATCCAGATCTCACTCTTTCATAGCGCCCAAATTCATACAGTCCCCATTTTCAAATTCAGATCTCCGTAACGGCTTCTTCTTCCTCCCTCACTATCTAAAAACCCTAACCTTATCCTCCTCCATAATTCCCCCAAATCTACACTCCATTTTCTATCAAAACCTACCCAATCTCTTGAAATTTCTTTTCAATGGCGTCTCTGACCCCAGGAATTCTGTTAAAACTCCTCCAGACGATGAACACCACCACTCGAGTTACTGGCGACCACCGTTCCCCTCTTCTCCAGGTCATAGGCATTGTTCCTGCTCTTGCAGCAGGCTCAGACGACCTCTGGCCTAACCATGGCTTCTATGTTTCTCTCTCTGACTCCGTTAACTCAACTTACGTCTCTCTATCTGACCGGGACACAGATCTCATCCTCACTAACCGCTTACAGCTTGGCCAGTTTGTCTACGTTGACAAATTCGACTTTGATTCTCCGGTTCCACGTGTATCTGGAGTCCGTCCGATTGCTGGACGTCACCCGTTTGTTGGATGTCCTGAACAGCTTATTGCCAGGATTTCCAGTACGAAGAGAGAGTTTGTCATCCAGACGGCCTCGGATTCAGATGCTTCTGTAGATCCTATTGCTGCTTATTTGTCAAGTAAAAAGTTTGAAACAGCGGTACAGGAGACGAAGGAATTAAAAAATGAGGTTAGGGCTTTTGCGTATTTATAGAGCTTCATTTTTTATATATTAGCCATATGACAACACAGTATAGTGTGCTAGATTGTGAATCTTCGTCATCTTGTCATATCCTTCTGCAATAAATCCTTTACCAAGTTCGTTTATGGAAACTAACCCATTTTTTTAGTCGTCAGGGATACCTTTGTTTTAGGATTGACTGAATTTGGAGATGATTCTCCAGGGCTAAGCTGAAATTTTGTTTTGGACTACCATCAAACACATAATTAGAGTATTTAGCTTTCTACAACATCCTGCTCCCTCTTCATGTTCCACTGAGACTAGATTGCTGGTTTAATACAGGATTGCACTTGCTAGTTTCTTGGAGATATTTGATGATTACGCTGATAATATATTTCATTTAGAGAATAGTTTTCCGAAAGATTATTCAGTTTTTCTTCTGTTGTTCATTCTAACAATTTTGTTTACCCCTTCTGTTCCTGTGAAACCTATGCTTGAGTTTTCATAATCAATTAATACTTCTCAAAATCGACAAGGATTTATCTAATTATGTAGAGAACTTAATAAATTCATCAAATTGTACAAGAAATGCACAGATAAAAAAGTTTTGTGCTGAAATTGTATAAACGGCTCTATCATTGTGTTGGAAGAGTGGTTTGATTTACCAAAGACAACCCTAAAAACACCGTTCTTTTCTTTGGGTTGCTTGCTCCTTTTCCTCGTTTCTTCTAACTCTAACAAATTTGCAGTGAAGACTGGTACAAAGAGAGAGCTGGTATTTGATAATGGGTATTATCTTTTTTGTTAATCAGGGTAGGAACAGACAAGTACTTGCACCTAGAGAGAATGTGAATAATTTTGATGAATCAACAAAGGCTGCAGAAAAGCCTCCTCAGAGGTTTTCAAGCCCAGGTATGAAGCAACAGAGGCCAGTGTCAGCGGGGAAAAAGAATGTGGTTGAAAGGGACCCTTCACCAGCCGGAAAAGTAAAAAGATCATCATCTCCGGTGCCTTCAAAGTGTGTGGTTCCTAGCTTGGTTGTGGCTAAAGAGGAGAACCGAAAGGCTGCAAGAGAGCCAGCTATCATTGTGCCTTCAAGATATAGGCAGCCTTCGCCTACTGGGCGGAAGCAGGCATCTCCAAGTTCAAGGAGAATGTCAATGTCGCCAGGAAGGAGGTTGTCAAGTGGAGTTAAAGTTTCTCCAGCAACAGATTCCGGTAATAAGAAAAAGATGGCAACTTTAGCTGCCGAGATTTCAAAGGTTTCAGGGGCACTTGTTGCTTCTTCTTCAAAGACAGTTGGATCTTCCACAAAGACAAGTAGGAAGAGCTGGGATGAAACACCAGGAGCTGCAGAACCCAAAGAGAAGAGTGTCACTAAATGTAAGCCGGATTTGCAAGCTATTTTGAAAACTCAGGTAAAATTCAGAAACCAAATTGTATATATTCTAACAAGTTCTAAAGAACTATTTGGCATGGTTCATGCCACCACATTAAATTTCATTGTGATCTTAAGGAGGTTGACCCTCGTTAATATTAATTTCTTTCACTTGAGAGATGATATTGGTAACCCGCTATTATTTCTTAGAAACCATAATGTGCTCCATCGTCCTAATTGTTGCCATGGCATTTTTATTTTCAGGCTGCTCTTTCTCGACGATTAAGTGATGCACACGAATCTCCAACCGAAGAAAAATTAAAAGCTAGCTCGTGTGATACTCCCCCTCTGCCTGATAGGCCAACTACTACAGCTCTGGGAATCACACTTCATGAAAAGAAATGGACTGATGGTAGCATCCCTCTGGATGCAGTGTCTTTAGACTTAGCAAGGCTTGGACAGGTATAAAAACACAGCATTTAAATCCACAAATCACTAATTGTTTTGGATTTCAAAGTATGGTAAGCAACATTTCCACTGGTTTGTAGGATGCTATGCGAAGGAGAAATCTGGCTTCAGTAGCTGCCGCTGAAGCTTTGCAAGAGGCCCTTGTCACTGAAGCTATTCTGAGGAGCTTGAGGTAACCCTGAAAACTATTTCTAGACCATAAAAATCCTCCTATTTTTATCCCTCCATTAAAACCAAATCAAACAGACCCAGTAAATCCCACCTAAAGATAGGGTCTGGGAGTAAGATATACGCAGAGGGACTGTTTCTGAGAAGACCCTCAGCTTGCAAAAAGAAAAAAGCAGCACATGTAGAAAGCACAAAGATAGGCCACAGATAATAAGCTATAACAGAGTTATAAATGATTAATGAGATAAGTGTATCATTTGCAGCATGTTTTCAAATCTGTGCTCAATATCAAAAGCTGGGAACCCTTTACCGACAATTGATAGGTTTATGAGTGTATATAATGATGCGGTAAAAGCCACTTCGACGGCTGAATCATTTGCAAGCAACCATAATCGTAGCACACCTCATGATAATGCTGCACCACCAACAGATGATTCAAAATCACTTGCCCTTTGGGTAGAAGCCGCACTAGCCACTGATCTTGAGGTTGTTTCCCTCCTAGCAAACCAAGGAATTGAATCCCCTTCTCAGCTCCAAAAGAAGAGCCAGAGCCAGAACCCGAACCAGAACCTTCCACAAAAACAATCTTTAGCTGAAACCGTCAAAAGCCATTTGATGATTTCCTCTTCTTGCCCTTCTTCATTGCTTGGCGGGGCGTGGATGAAAGGGCATGGGTTGAATGAGAGTTATGAACTAGGAGTGAAATTGCAAAAAGAGATGCAGGCATGGTTCTTGAAGTTTGTGGAGGAGTCTCTAGATGCCGGTTTTCAGGTGATGGGAAAGAATTGCGTGGCTGCTAATAGTTATGAAGTGGGTCCCATCAAGGTGATATTGTCGCAGCTGAAACGAGTGAATGATTGGTTGGATCGTATGATCTCAAAGCAGGACGAGGTGCTGACAGGAGCAGTCGACCGATTGAAGGGAAAGATCTACAGGTTTGTGATTCAACATGTTGGTACCACATATGACAATTCATCTTGATGATGAATTTGCTTGTTTTCAAGTGAAAACAAAAAACAAAAAATTCTTGTATGTTTCTCTGATAAAATTTATTGTCCTTCATAAATTTGCTTCCTGCTATGGTATAATGGTAATGCCAGTTTGAGATGTGGGATTGTGTTCTAAAAATTGACAAAACATCCTGCAGGTATTTAGATTATCCTGGTGTTGAAAATTCAATACTAAAACAATCAGATTTTGGACCATTCCAATTCATTATTGGTCTACTTCAACTTTTGTTCAATTGTGTTTTTTATTAACCTCGATATCCAACCCGCTATGCGAGCCGACTAATCACAAGGCGACCACCTGCTTTGCAGATAGCCGAAGTCACCGCATTTGAATCTTCGTGGCCATAAGGGGATTTTTATTCATCATTCGATTTGAACCTGAGACCTCCTGGTACTTTTAACCTTTAGAGTCAAGCTCAAATCAATCAGACACTATCCTCGTGGTTAACTGTGTTTTCTTTAGAGACAAAAAGTGGTGGCAAAAATTGTGATTCAAAAGAATACTAATAATATATGTTGTGAAGTATTATAACTAAAGAATATTTAAGAAAGATATTGGATAGAGTTAAGGATCTAGAGAACATCTTTGACATGTTATAGGAATTAGTGTTTATGAAATCAAATTGACAAACAACACATTCGGGCAGAAAAACTATGAGATGAATACAAATTGACAATGCTATATACTCATTAAATGAAATTAAAGCAATGCAATTACTAGCACCTAGAGGTGTATAAGAACCGGCTAAAATTTCAGGACCAAATCTAGATCGATGGTCCTAACCGGTCCTTATGGGTTCTCAAAAAAGAAACAAATATATATATATACATATATATATATATATATATACATATATATATATATATATATATATAGG